AATTCTTGATGTTTTGACTTTTTTTTGTTTAATGAGAGAATTTTTTTTAAAACTATTCAAGTGATCTTTAGATCTCGATGAAGTATTAACAACCCATCTCTCCACATATTTATAATATTCCAGCGACTTATGTTGATGCTGACTTCTTCATTTTAAAAAAAAAAAATTCAAGGATTTTTTCATTTATTAGTTTACACATTAATTAAGTAGACTGTTAACAAATTTTTCATTCCATTTTATTTGTATAATTAATTATTGTGAAGCCTGCAGCTTCTTACATCGTCACCTAATTTGAAACTGTAAAAGATACGAACATAAAATAATTCGATATCATTCAATTGATTCTATAATACAAACAAATATTTCATGGACCATCATCCTTTACGTCGTAATGGAAAATAAAATTTAAAAAAATTTAAATCTTGTTTGTATATTAATTATGGTCGCAATCATTCTCGAAATTTAGACAGAGAATTCTAGAAATAGTAAGATTTCAACTAAAAATAGTATATTAAAATACATATATGTATATTTCATTGTATTTTATATACAAATAGTTCTGGTTTTAATCTTAAAATATAGAGAAAGGAGGTCATTCTCACAAAGTTTTGTGGTACTCTTCGATAAAACTTTTTTTCACAGTGTGACTGATACCAAAATGTGGTGGTTTGTGGTAACACAAAATGGTTCATTCTTTTGTGTCTTGAGTTTAAATATTTTTTGAGATGAAGAGTATTTTTTAAATCAGAATATCCTGAGACTATTTTCGGTATCAAAGAAATTATGAGTTAAATGTTCAGAACTCCCATGGTTTATATAAAAAAAAGACAGTGTGAATGAGAGACGTTTGGCGAATTCAAAAGGATTAAAGCAATAAAATACTTCAAGATCTAGATAATATTTAGAAACAAATATAAACAAAAAGGCCATTGATCTTTCATTGAACTTAGTCGCAGCATCATTGACCTATTTTTTTTTTTCATTAGTACCAACCCATTAATTAAAAATTTTGACTTTAATGCATCACCCATTTTATTTTATCATTCGCATTTTTAGGCGAAATTCATAAGAAGAAAATTTCACAATGAATATTCATGTTCTTGGAATCTCTGTTTTGTACATGGATTTTAATGGTTCTAGAAAATAAAAATAATTTTTTTTTTGAAAAAATACCATTTTTAAAGTGTTATTTTTCAAAAATACCATATTTTTAAATCTTTAAAAAAATGCCACTCTTTCAAAATTATTT